TAGCTGTCCAGTCACACACAGCATCTGCTCATCTCCGGCCCACAGGCTGCACACATCCATCCCCCATTGCATTTACTATCCTATAATTCCGGTCTTTAAGTGTTGGCTGTGGAACCCAGCGCCTTGCTAGGCAAATGCTCCACCACTAAACTACACCCTTAGTTCTTGTTTTTCAGTGGAGCATCATTATATAGCTCAGGGCACCCTGGAACTATATAGCTCAGGCTGATTTTTAATTCATTTTTTTGTGTCCTGAGATTACGGGTGTGAGCCATTATGGGTGTGCAGTCATACAACCCCACCTTCATTTCCATACATGAAATTGTGCATCTCTGGATTTTCTGAGCTACGGCAAAAGTCCCAGTGAAAATTATTGTCTCTGGAGGCATTCAGATGGCACCAGCTACTCAACCTTACGATCTGAGTTTGATACCTACAAACACATGGTGAGAGCATCAACTTCCAAAAATTGTTTTCTGATCTCTACATGTGCCATGGCAAGTGAGCAAACATGCAGTGTCAGAAAAAACAAAAAACCAAAAGGCAAACCACAAAATTACTATTTCTGAGGCTGGGATGTGACTGGCTGAGTACTTGCCTAGCATAAGGCAGCCCTGGTTCTAGCTCTAGCTCCACAGAGAAACAAACTATGACTTCTTTAACAAAACCACACCTAGGATTAGACTGGATAACAACTCTAAACTTCTGAATGCCTGGTATCTGTTTCCACCTACCATAGTAACTTTTGCAAAGTTTTGAAACAATGGAAGACATTACTCTGCCCATTTTGGGGTCAGGAGATGCTGAGTTGGGAGGTTAGTGCTTGAATGCTCCTCCAAAAGCCCTGAAGGTAGGCACATATGTATACGTTTCTGTGTGTGTCTGGTGTGTGCATATGCATGGAGGCCAGAGATCAATTTCAGCTGTCTTCATCAATAACTACTTTTTGTTGTTGAGACAGGGTTTCTCTGTGTATCTTTGCTTGTTTTGGAACTCATCCTATAGACCAGGCTGGCCTTGAGCTCAGAGATCCACCTGCCTCTGTCTCCCGAGTGTTGAGGTTAAAGGCATGTGCCACCCCTGCCCTGTTTCTTCACCAACTTTTTTTTATTTTAGATGTGTGATGGCTCATCTTGGTTGTTAACTTGATTACACCTACAATCAACCAAATCCCAAGCTGCTGAGCATACCTGTGAGGAGGAGGAAGTTTGCTTAAATGGGCCATTTGAGATAGAAAGAACCATCCTAAATGTGGATCACACTTTTTTTAAAAAAGATGTTTATCAGTTTATCTATCAATCTATCTATCTATCTATCTATCTATCTATCTATCTATCTATCTATCTATCTATCATCTATCCATCTATCTATCTAGACTTCATTCATGTGTTCTGCCTGCATGTATGCTTGCAAGCCAGAAAAGGGCACCAGATCTCACATAGATGATTATGAGCCACCATGTGGTTACTGGGAATTGAACTCAGGTCCTCTGGAAGAACAGTCAATGCTCTTAACCTCTGAGCCATTTCTCCAGTCCCAGTGGGTCATACTTTCTGATGGCAGTCCACATAAGTGGACACAGAAGAAGGAAGCTTTTGCTTTTTATTTGCCCTTACTCTCTGGCAAGTTCATCCAGCCTGCTGCTGAGACGCTACATCGGGATTTCAATGTCTAAAGACCATCTGAGACATCCAGCCTTGTGGACTAAACAGCTGCTGGATTCTTGGCCTGTCAGTGGACAGCCATTGTTGGATTAGCTGGAACACAGCTAATAAATCTAATCATTCTAATAAATCTTCTTTCAATATATATTATTTTCATTCAATCTCCTTTAGATAACCCTAATACACACTCTCTCAGTGAAACTAGAGATTACAAATTTGGAGAGACCTGGCCAGCAAGCACCAGGAATCTGTCCATCTCGCTATCTCCACAACCACGATTGTGCACACTCACACACCTGACTTCTACCTGGGTGCTGGGCATCCAAACACAGGTCCTCGTGCTTGTGCAGCAAGCATTTTATCAACGGAGCCATTTCCCTGGCCCTTCAAACGTAGTCATAGCTACCAGCTAAAACATTCATGGGAAAGTGCCAACCTGGAATGATGTCTGTAAGGTCCAAGCAGTTGTGACAATTTTCTGGTTGCCAGTTACAGTTTCAAGACTCTAGTGTGACAATCTTCCTCCCCATCTCTCCCACTCAACCCACAACCAGAATTTCCAGACAGATGCACCTGTCACTGGAAATAGGGGATGCACAAAGAACAAAACAAACCCGAGTCAACTGGCAGGTTTCTAGCTGAGGTCTTTATTTTCATTTTATGTACAGCAAAGGTGCTGCTGAGACTCCACAGCAGCCAGACAGAACATAACTGAATTCTCTCTCAACAATTAGCAGCTTAAGATCTAGCATCTACACGTAACGTTCACGCGTTCACAAGTATTGTCTCTTTACTCTGCAATTCGTGCATGTGAGTCTTTAGTCTTACACACTTGTATAAAACACACATACGGTCAGCCTAGTAGTCAGCCCCTTCTGAGGGTATCACCTAGCATACACAACATACAGAAGAGCCACATTCAAAATCCCAGTTTAATTGGGGGTGGTGTGAGAACCATCACTTTGCCTGTGCTGGCTTGTTGATAACAGCATTTGGTTTTGTTTGAGATGTGTATTTTCCAAAGCTACAAGGTCAGAACACTGGAGCTCACTCAGAATCCAGTTTCACTGACTACCTTAGAACACAAGATCAGAAGCAAAACCAAAGCATGCCCACTGTCAGATATGACTGGTGAGGAAGGCTTCACCCCAGTGTTCTGGTCACAGATGTTTCACGCCAATTGGGATGGGGCTAAAGAAGCACCGTCAGCGATGGGTCTGAGTGCACCTCTTAGGGTCAAGGACCTGAAACTGGAGCAGACAGCCGTCAACATCATGGAGTGATGGCCAACTCTACAACCATGACAGTCACCCAGGCCAACACGGCCTGCCTCACTCACTTGGGCTAGGCACCATCATGGACAAGGGAATCAAAGAATGCTTCATTTTAGCGGATTTTTTTAATTAAATTTTTTTTAAGGAAAAGAAGCATTATATTGTGGGTAAGCTTCTCTCAAATCAAGTGCTAAACCATTAGAGCAAGGCTAGTGAAAGGCTGTGAATAGAAAAGAGAATCTACGCACAGCCACAGTTCCAAGAAACTCAAAGGTAACAGGGAAGGGCAGCAGAAAGTACAAGCAGGCAGGATAACTGAAGTGTGTTATAAACAACACTGAGAGCAGATACTGCAGGCTTGGTGAGTGAGCAGGGGTAAGACAGCGAGAGCCATGATAGGTCCTATCCTGGACTGAAGGGCCTTCCCAAGACAGCCTGCTAAAAGGAAGGCAAGGAGTCAGTGTGGGTCTGTCTGTCTGTCAGAAGCTCCTGATTCTTTTTCCTTCAACAGAAACTGCCATCAGGAAATTAGAGACAATTCCAGTTTATCGATCACAGTGACATTTGGGGGTCCTCCTGTGGAACTGTTAGGAGAAGCCAGTGGGCTGCCACTGGATCATCTCTCCCACAGTCCCATGAGGCTCTCTTCTGTACCAGAGCAGCGACTGTTGTTCAGCAAGGTCAGTGTCCTGCGGCACTCTTGCCCGAAGCTGCTGCAGGATTTTCAGACAGTGCTAACCTTCTAAACATAGGCTTGGGGACCATTTGTTTTGGCATGAATATGTATTGGTTTTAATTTTTTTTTTTTTGTCCCTGCTTTAGGTGCTCATTATGAGGTGGATAACAACCATCTGGGGGATGGGAGAGGAGACTGGGTACCTGAGTTACCATATCAAAGCGAGAAGGCCAGCAGGCCAAAGCAATAGGAGGTTGGAACTGTTAGGTAAACCATGCTTTTCAACAGAGAGGGCATTGCTACCCTAATTCTGAAAGAAGGTCCTGGTGTGGGGACATAGGCAAAAACACACTTTGCTTCTCTGTCCGGGGCACAGTACATGGCTCCTTTGCGTTACGTGGGCACACAGGAAGAGGCCATTGGATATGGCATTTGTGACCTACCTCCAGTAACATGAGTTTAGTCAGGCTCTAGTTTTCTCTGAAGGTTGATTCAGGTTCCACCTAGGTGAGGAACTGGCTGTGGGATAGAGACAAAGCTCAGCTCCTCTTCCTAACAGCCACTGAGCAGTTAGTGAGGTTAGTCAGGCTGGGTTAATAGGAAGTTTGCAGCAGTTTGCACCCAGAATTTAGGTTCTTGTAACCTGACATTTCCTTTTCTGCTTTTTGGGAGAATCACCTTCAATTGATCCTCTCCAGCAGACAGACTAAAGCTTTGAAGTTAAGGATGCTGAGGCCAAAATGCAGACAACAAGACTCCACATCACTTTGGTTTCGGTAATTAGGGGGTGTTAAACAATAAATTAAGCAAACACAAAGAGTTATTTATGATATGACTCTCATAATAAGGTAGGGGGGCTGTTTGTTTTTTTTGTTTTTTCTAAAGAGAATCCCAGCCCAAAGTCACTGGGTGAACATTTACTTGGGTGCGAGGTGGGCAAAGTCCAGTCCTACCACACAATTCTGTTGAGGTCACACCCCCTCATGCAAACCCCTCACCACTCCAACCAAGCCAGGCTGGGGAGATGGTGCTGTGTGTAAAGACCAGAGAGCTGGGGCAGCCACAGGGTGGCAGAGGGCAGCACTGGCAGCAGTCTCCAACTCAACTGCTTCAAGATAACAGGGGGCAGCACACTGAAATATCCACACAGCTTCATTTGAAAACATCACTGCTTTATTTCAAAGAAAAAAAAGACCCTCCCAACTCAGGACCCCTCCCCTCAAAAAATACCCCAACCCCGCCCAAAGCCCAACCAACCAAACCAAAAAAAAAAAACCCACAAAAAACACAACTAAACAAAAATACCCCAATAATAATAACAATAATAAAAAATCCTATTAGAAACTATAAGGAAGCACTGAGAGTTTGAGTATTACATTCTTCAAGTATGTTGTTCGGATTTTTTATTTTTAAGTTGGTAACTATACACATATAAAAAAAACCAAACAAACCTTAAAAGTGCGGCCAAGAGATTTTGCTTAAAGTTAGGATTAAGGGCTACTTCACAATACTGAACAGGACTGCACAGTCATCCTGTGGTTTGATGCTCTTGCTTCCAACCCTGGCAGAGTTAAGGAAGGCGCAGGTTTCAGAAGTGATCACACTTCAGGTCAGCATGAGAAAGCCTGGGAAATGTTTGTGTTCTTCCATGGCAGGGGAAACCCACCCTGAATCTACAATTCCACCCTGGAATGTGGTGGGACTTCACAGTAGAGTTAGTCTAGACGAGGAGAGGAGCCCAAGAATGGTAGGTGTTGGACCTGGTCAGATTTTTGCATCTGTTTAGTGGGTTTAGTGCAGTCCTCCAAGCCTCAATTCAGAATGCCCATTGATGTGTTGCAGATTGTTGGTTCATGTTAAAGGACTGTTTCAGATTTGCATCCCAAGGAAAATCATGCTACATAAAAATGATCCAAGATTTTTCCCAAAAAACTTCTTGGATAAAATCTAAAAAATACTATTGCAATTGCGTCTCTTGAAGAAAAAAACATTATTCTAAATGTAAACAGATTCACTCAACTCTCTTGTAGAAACTTCAGAGTGGGTAATGCTGTTGTCTAGCTCTCTTGGCATGCACTCGCCAGACGGTGAGGAGCACTGCTGTCTGCACCAGCATCATCTGGGGGGTGAGAAGAGTCGGTCCACATAGCTGAAGAGTGCGTCCCAGTGCTTCCAGAGAAAGGCAATGAAAGCCACAAGGAATAAAGTGCTGAACGTCCTGTTGCGTGTCTTCATGAGGGGGACCACACAGTTGGCTACTGTCGACACAAAGACCAAGAGGACTGCCATGACGGCCAGGAGGATGTTGATGAGTTTGCCCAGAAGGTTTCGGGCAGTGGCATTCTCCAGCCCTTCCAGTTGCACCACCTGCTGCTGTTGCTGCTGCAGCTCCATCTTGGAGATTCGGGTCTGACAGGCCTCCAGGGCCTCCTGTGGGCCAAACGGGATTGTTAGGCTTCTGTTCTCACAACTCTAGGGCTAACATGCCCTGGGAGAGGCAGATACACCCAGAGCCATGGCAAGGATCTGAAGTAGCCAGAGCCTGGGATATGAAAAGCCACACGCTCATCACTCCCACCCCTCTACTGTACTCCTGGGGAATAGCTGCAGGGAACAGTGAACATACTTTCATTTATTTTGCCTAAAATTTACTTAATTTATTTTTTTATGACAAATCTCTCTTGTATCTCAGACTGGCCTTATGATTGCTATGTAGCTGAGATGACCTTGAACTTCTGATCTTTTTTGCCTCAACCTCCTGACTGCTGAGATCATAGGCATGTGCCATCATTCCTGAATGGCCTAGCTTCGATTATAAGGTTTTTATTCTTTTTTTTTTAAATAAGTTTTTTAAAAATCTTTTTAAAAAATATTTATTTATTTATTATGTATATAATATTCTGTCTGTGTGTATGCCTGCAGGCCAGAAGAGGGCATCAAACCTTATTACAAATGGTTGTGAGTCACCATGTGGTTGCTGGGAATTGAACTCAGGACTTTGGGAAAAGCAGGCAATGCTCTTAACCTCTGAGTCATCTTTCCAGCCCAGGTTTGTATTCTTTTAGAAATTCTGAGTCTAAGGTAACAAGACACATACACTTGTTTATCTAAACAGTGTCTCAGTGTTCTCAGTTCTCTGTGCTGTGGTGACACTGTCATACTATTAAGTTCACCTTTACCTGTACGTAAGTCTACATATGTATTTGCTTAGCATGGGGTTATTATAGGCATTTCCTACCATAATGTGCACTGCATTCTACTGGAATAGACCATAACTTAGTTTACTTTTTGCTCAATAGTGGGTCTTAAGGATTGTGCTATGTCAAAATACAGGGATCTACCTCATTTTTGTGTGTATAGACATGTGCATGGACACATGTGCATGTTCTAGTGAAGGTCAGAAGACCAGTGTGGTGTTGGTCCTCAGGTACCCTCCACCTTTTGCTTCAGACAGGGCCTCTCATTGGCTGCAACTCTGCAAAGCAGGCTAGATTAGCTGACCAGAAAGCTCCAAAGATTTGCCTGCCTCATCTTGCCTTTGCTGAGGTTACAAGTATATGACATTATGCCTGGATTTAAAATTATTATTATAGCATTCATGTGTTTGCAGATCAGTGTGGAGATCAGAGGACAAATGTGAGGTATTAGTTCTCGTCTTCCACCTATATCCAGTTCTAGGGACTGAACTCAGTTGTTAAGCTCCATGGGAAGAACTCATGGGTGCATACTCTTGTGAGTATGCCACAGTTTAGGTATCTCTTAGGGATTTTAAAGGTTTCCCCCCCTGATTTTTTCCCCCACTCTAACAATGATGCAGTGAACAACTCTGAATGTGCTTCACTACCACACCACCTGATGTTTTTATGTCAAGACATCCCTGATTGGAGAAAGGGAACTGTGATTTCACTGTAAGGAGGGCATACTCCCTTTTCAGGTCAATCTCTAAGGCATATACTATGATGACACTCTACAGAGGACATTAAAGTGACCTACTCCCCCTAAGGCCAAGCCTTATGTAAACTGCACCCTACCACTCAGGAACACAAACTTCATCCCCTAGCAAGGACGTACATCCTCCCAAGGCAACCAGTGGCTGGAACGCTGGGAGTTTCCAGCCTTAGTATCTTCAATGTTGTGTCTGGTCTTCTGGGATGCGAGGGACACTAGCCTGAAGCTAGTTCAAGAATGGATAACGGATACTGCTCACTCTAGAACTACCTCGGGATGAAAAAATAAAAATGTAAACAGAATCTGAGGGCCTAAAGAAGATGGCAGCTGGGCAAATAGTCAGGACAGTGCCTTGATTCCTCTTCTCCACACTCACTTCTTTCAAGGTGCTTTCACAAAACCCACCATGACCTCTGAGAAAATCTCCATAGGAAACAGAGAAACCCCACTGTTTCACTTCTTCATGGAATCAATCAAATATTCACCTTCAGCTTCACTGATGGGGTTTCTCAAACCTACAAACAATGGGGATTTTCACAAACCGTGTAATGTGCCACCTGTAAGAGCAGGAACAAAAGCCCCTTTCCACAGAAGCAAAAGATAGGCTAGCTGGCCAGAAGCCCAACTGAGCAGCTCCAGGGCAGCAATGAGATGGGATGCTCTAGTTTTCCCTTGACTGAGACATTTGCCAATATCTAGAGCTGTACCTCCTCAAATGTATGAACTTTTGAAGAAGGTACCTCCATTGTGTTGCAACTGATAAGAGCTTTTCTTGATTCTCTACCCTCATGTCTTTGCCCATTTTCTTTCTTTTTTCTTACTTATTGTTCATACTAACCTGGATGTCCCGGGCCCGTTCATAGGACTGATAGGCAATTTTCTCTTCCATGCTGGCCAGCTCTTGCTTTAAGTTCAGAATCTCGTTCTGATGAAGCTCTGTCAGGTCGTTCAGCTGCTCTTCTAGTCGCTCACATCTGAAAAAGGGAGAGAAGTTGGAGTTTCAAATATTCTGCATCCTCCATGATATAATTTAGATCAATTCCCACATCTATTCTACAAAATAAAAAAACCCCACAGAGTTAAAGCAAGTCTGGGGTACTGTGTGCCAGAAGTTGCAGCTTTCAGTCTCCAAAAGGCAGCTGTCACAAAGCTGGCGTCATGGTTTTCCCAATAGCCTCGTATAGCTCTGCACATCTATGATGCTGAAGCAGCTCTTACTCTGTTGAGTATGGAAGATGCAAAAACTAAACAAATCTCACCAGGAAAGAGACCTTCTGGTTGTCAGTAATGACTTATTTAAAAATCAGTTGAACAGTGACTTACTCACCCAGATGTTTGTGATTTGGAGACCCAGAAAGCCAGAGCCAGAGGGATCTATCATCCCCATGGCCAAGCAGTGCTTGGGACATTTGTCAACACATATTTATTGAGAATCTGCTGCAGGCATGTTCAAAGTACTGGGACACTGTAGCAAGAAAGAGATAGCACTTGCTTTCCACTTATTCTACAGAGAGAAGGGAGACAAAAGATCACCAATAGGATTTGATGTAGCCAAGACTAGCAGGTAGCCAAGCATATGGCAGTGTCTAGTGACACTGGAGAGTCAGGGAAGACTTCTCAACTCTCTTCAAGAATGAGAGATAAAGCTTGAAGGATACTAACAGGCTTGGAAGATGAAGTACAAACTTGTTCAGACAGGAATGAAGTTGGCATGTGTAAGGGCTGGAGCAGGCCAGAGAAGCTTCAGAATGGGAAAAAGAGAGAATGTTCCTGGAAGGCTAGTTTTATTTATCATGTATCTCTAGCATTTAGGAGCATGTGCATGCTTGTTCACACACATTTATTCTATATAAAGAATTAAGGGAGCAGGGAACCCGGACTGCTCTTCGGGCTGATGAGGGAGGGGGACTTGATTCGGGGAGGGGGAGGGATATGGGAGGCGATGGAGGGGAGGAGGCAGAAATCTTTAATAAATAAATAAATAAATAAAAAGAATTAAGGGCGCTCACCAGAGATTCTAGGTACAAAAAAAAAAAAAAAAAAAAGAAAAGAAAAAAACAAAAAACACTCTAGAAAGAAATACACAGAATAACTAGATTCTGGATAGCTGGAGAAGGGGCCCAAAGAAGACAGAGTATAGGGAAATGGGCTGTCTGTAGTGGTGAAGAGGACAGATGAAGCAGGAGTCCTAAGAACCAAAGGGCTTCCAGGAGAAAGGCCAAAGACAATACATTAAAAACACTAAGATAGGGCAAAGGAAGAAAAAACACCTTCAGTTCCTGTTGAACAGAACGAAGTCCTGTGTCAGAGAGCATTTGGGCAGAGCTCATGCCACAGGGAAAACCACATGAGAAAATCCGGGGACTTCCACTAGAAAATAGAAAGAAAGCTGGGAGCAGGCTACGGTACATTCCCTAGAATCCCAGGTACTAAAGAAGCAGCTGAGATAGGAGGACTCTAAGTCTGAGGCTAGTCTAAAAAACAACCAACCAACCAACCAACCAACCAACCAACCAACCAACCAACCAACCAATGTTCCAGAGTACTATTAAATATTAATAATTCCTCCTTTCTTTCCTCTAGTGCTTTTCTTTTTCTCTCCCATTCTCCCACCTCCTCTTTCTTCTTTTGGTTATACAAGGGATGGAAGCTGTCACTTCGCATGCCAGGCAAGGCCTCTACTACTGAGCTACAGCAACAACCCTACTCTTATTTCTAGTCACACTCATGGTGTACAAACTTTTTCTTTTTAGCCCAGGATAACCTCAAATTTGTGATCCTTTGCTTCTGGTTATGGATTCTGGGATTACCAGGATCTATCACAATGCCTGGCTAAAGTATATCCACTTTTAAGGAATACAAGGAATTTCTCTAAGGTAATTTTATGTTGCAGCATATTCCCTTGTATTTCTGTGCATCTCTGTGTATGTGCATTGGTATGCTGTATTGTCTGCATGTATGCAAGCAGTCCATGAGCAAATGTGTGGGTGCCATAGGAGGACTTTGGTGTCCTACTCTATTCCTGTTTGTTTTACCCACTTAAGATGGGAGTTTCTCACTGGACCTGGAGCACACTGTTTCAGATAGAAGCCTAGCCATTAAGCCTCTGGGATTCTTCTGTTTCCAATAGAGCTCAGGTGACAGACATCCATACAGCCATACCTTTCTTGATAGGGTCACACTATATAGTTCTGGCTGGCCTGGAACTCACAGAGCCCCAGTACTGGGAGTAAAGGCAGGTGCTTCAATGTCTGGCCTCATCCCTGTCTTCTTTACTTGGGTGTTGAGGGTCCTCATGCTTGTACAGTGAGTGCTCTTACAGTCACCATCCCATCCTCCAATATTATCCTTTTTAATTAACATATAATAAACAATGATTATATTCTATTAAATTCTATCCCTTAAGAAATAAACATTAATTTAAGGAGTCATAGTTTGACCCTTTTCATTATGTTGTTAAATCCTATTTAGGTCTCCTTTAGGCATCTCTGTTGTGCTTTCCTTCATGTTGTTACAGAACAGCACTGCCATGCTCTGTCATCTATAACTAAAACTGGTATTTGTGGGACTCTACCTTTTCATATCATCTGCTGCCTAGGGACTCAGGAACAGGTGTCAGCTATGGAAGTGATTTTCTGCTAAAATTTAAACTCATCAGATACTGTAAGATTATATTAATATACTGTCTTTCAAAACTCTTTTTTAGTGGTGGTGGTGGGAGTGAGCTAGGACCCAGAGCCTTGCACATACTAGGTAAGCATTCTAGTAGCCTACTGTTTTGAATATGTGACTTTCTTCATTGTCTTTCTTTACCAGAAGGATGTTGAAACTTAAAACTGGAATTTCTAACTGCCAGTCTTGCGGGTGTAAAGCTTGGTTGTAGAGTGTACTTAGTAGGCTCTGTCCAACCAAAAACCAGGCCAATTCCTTGGCTATAGTCAGTAACTGGGATTGGGCAGGGAGCAGGGTGTTCGTGTCTAGCAGGGTGCATGGTGACAGGGCTGCATACTCCTTTAATCCCAGCACTTGGGAGTTAAGAGACGGATCACTTTGAGTTCAAGGCTAGCCTGGTCTATACTGTGAGCTCAGGATAGCTAGAGCTATATAACAAGACTCTGTCTTGAGAAAAAAAAAAGCAACAATATGAACCCCAAAGATTACTGGGAAGTTTTATTTGGAATTAAATGTGGCTCATGTGCACCCAGAGCAGACTGGAAACCGCAGCCACCCAGCCACTGCTTCCTCGGAGCCTGCTGTTCATCAGGTCTGCTGGGAGGGTGGAAGGTGTTATCTTCCCCTCAGAAGTAGCAGTTAAAATTAAGAGGTCCCAAAGCTACCTGCCAGAGACACAAAGTGAAGGGGGAAAGATGTAAATTCAGGTTTGTTTGATTTTACAACCTACATTTCAAAACTCCACACTGCAATGCCATTTTGAAACTAGTCGAGAAGCCAAACAAACTCCCTTAAAAAGTAAAAAATCTGAGTCAGCTTGACAGTGGTTCAAGTCACACATCCACAGTGGGGCTCTGTTGATATGGTGATTTAAAGCTTGGCCAAGAGAAGATACTGAATAAAAGTCTAGACAAATTCAGATTACACGAGCCTTTAATCCCAGCACTCGGGAGGTAGAGACAGGCAGATCTCAGTGAGTTCGAGGCCATCTTGGTCTACAAAGTGAGTTCTAGGACAGCCAGGACTACACAGAGAAACCCTGTCTCAAAATAAACAAACAAAAGCAAAACAAAACAAAACAAAAAAGAGAAAACCAAGTGTTAGTAAAGATATGCAGCTGGTAGAACCATTCTTTTCTGCTGGTAAGAACTTAAAAAGGTTAAACAAACAATTCTAAGAAGGCCTATAACAATACTTCAGGTACATAGAGCAGAGAAATGGAACTTCTCTGCACACAAGACAGGCCCAGTGATGAGCTCACAGCACTACACTACAGTATCCAAGAAATTCCCAGATTCTGTATCCTAATGTGCTTGAAACTTGCTGTTCAGTTTAGTGATTCCCCGTTCACTTGCTGCTCACAGATATCAGGATATGAAACAGAAAAAAAAGTGCTTTTCCACTCCCTGTACCCAATTCCAAAACCCTAGCAAAACAGGCTGACTTTTGGCTTCATTCCCCAATATGGCTACTATAGACTGTTCACTGTGACAGAAAGGTGCAAGATCTTTTTTACCCAACTTTCTAAATAGGGAGGCTCAGGTAGGCAGACGGTGAGATCCAGGCAAGCCTTGTTGTACACAGCAGTTTTCAAGCCAGATTGGGATACAGAGTGAAACTGACTTTTCAAAAACAAAACAAATGAAAACAAAATATGCATGAAGCGTTTAGAGTCCATCAATAGCACTGCATTAAAAAAGAGGGTGTGTGTATATGTGCGTGCAGGTGTGTATGTGTGTGAAGTGGTTGATATCCTGGGGACATGGAAACATAAGGTCAGAAAAGTTCAAGGTCATTTTTGGTCACTTTTGGAGTTAAGAGGCCAGCCTGGGCTACCTGTGATTGTCTCAACAGAAAAAAAAAAACAAAACAAAACAAAAAATCAAATAATCAAAAACAGAATTCCCCAAATTATGTGATTCTAGGAGAGCAGTTGCGAGGACTATCCTGCAAATGGCTTACTGGGCACAAACCCTTCTCTACCTCAGATGACAAGCCTCTGCTACTTCTTATTTTACTGGGCAGGTGTTGCTACTGCTATTCCCTGGCTCAAGTTGGCCACATAATTAAACTTGTTCTATCTCTAGCCATCTGCTTCCTTTCTCCCAGACATGCTTTCCGAATGTACACGAGGAAAGGTATCAAGTCAATTTTAACTGGTCTTCATAACTCTCCAGAGAACTTAGTAGAAACTGCTAATCTATGTCTCTGCAGAAACTGAGTCCATCAGCAGTTGAGCAAATTACTTATGAATTCATGGGAAAGTAACAGACAAACCTTCTCAAGCCAAGATTCACCCCAA